TTTCAAAACATCAGTGACCTCTCTTTATGTAAGGTAAAATTGGTAGTGGTGTTTAATTAAGTACGGCGCCATTAGTGCTCATGGTGGAGTGGAGATACATCTGTACGTATTCTTAACCTTGGCACTAGATGGATGTAACTGATCAGCTTCACGCTTAGGCTGCTTTAATTCCGAGGAAATAACCCTCCATCCTTGTTGGAGAAAAGGCTGGGTGGGCCCTAGTGTAGTTATTGACGCCATGGAAAAGAGAAACAACTCTTGTCCCGACAGGGAATCGAACCCAAATTTCTCGGTTGTCCAGCCCGTATGCTAACCCAACTGAGCTACCCCCGCTCCCTTTAAACCACAAAAAAAATTATTCCAGAATATTTCTTTTGATTGTTCGATGTCACGAATGACCATTGCAGGTGAGTGTACGTTACGAACATTAAGAATTCAGCCTCTTCGCTGTAGGAAATTTCAATCGAGACTGAATCTATACACCGGGTGTCCAGATGAAAGGTATCCAAAATAAAAAAATGTATATCTCGGGAACTAATTATCATACACGTATCCGGTTTATGTCATCGGAAGGAAAACTCTGAAAGTTTCTTTTGTTTCATGCCCGGCTTAAACGCATGGGCCGCCACATTTCTGCCACCATGTCAGGAATCATTTGGAGAGATTGATGGCTGGGAGATAGATCGGCAGAAGTGGAGCAATAGCTTAGCCTCCTACGTCGCCAGATTTCAACTCACTGAATTTTTCTTGTGTGGTAATGTGAAGAATATTATATTCCAGGTTAAGATCAACGACTTCAACACCCGAAAACCCACATAAGGGACGCATAAGGGATATTTGTCGTGCCACAAAAGGAGCCCACATTTAAATTTATTGAGCAAGTTATATACTCAGGAAAAAACTGTAAAAATTTCCCTTTGCAATGGTGCAACACCTAAATGTGTATAATAAATGCTTTCTGAGATATGATTGTTTTATTTTGGATACCTTTCATCCGGACATCCTTTATTTTTCTGTATAGCACTGAGGGACGATACTAACAGAAGACATCCGGACGCCTCAGATTCCAAGAAGAGACATGACAATTGTGAATACACATTCGATGGTGACGTGAATAAGTTGAGACATGATCGAATATTCCAACTATCTATTCAAATGTGATGTTTAGATGCAAATATATAGAGCCTTGTCCTTATAAAAAGAAGAGAAATGTATGAAATTTATGTGTGTAAAGTATTATTAAAATCAATTCTAAATAGTTCTGACCATTGTATATTACACTTAAGGTATGTGGGTTTCTGGAATTCTGTCTGGTATTCCGAACCGAGCTTAGATTCAAGTTGGTCAGTGACTGAGACTAGGACTTCCTAATGGACCTAAGTGAGCACGTACACCCTCCCCCTACCCACCTTTCCATCGGACGGTCAAGGGTCCAATTTATTAAATACTGCGTTCTATTCCTTTACATACCAAAAACAAAAATTCTCTCGGCCCAGAAACCAAGCAATCCAATCATGAAAATATCTTAATGTTCCCTCGCATACGTAACACGGAAGGAGATCTGGAATACCTGTGTATCGGCTAGGTTACGGGCTTGGTGACTGAGGAATATTGGTTCGATTCAGGGCTGGGACAAGACATTTATCTTTTCTCTACAGCGTTTAGTTCGGCTCTGGTTCTCTCCCTGAATCTTAACGCGGGGTAAAGCAATCGGAGCGTGATGCTGACAATTAAAGTGCCTAACTTGAATATACGTGGAAGTGTACCTCCTCTTCTCCAAGCATTTTCACAGCGAGGTGCTTAATTAAACACAGGGACGAGTTTAATTTTTATCTTATGTAACATCAGACCACATTGCATCCGGTGTGAATGGAATATGCAACCAATGCAGTCGCATATCATTTGATGTAAAGATACCAAGAGGAAAGTTAATAGAAGGTCCGTCGAGTGTAACAATTTGTAGGTCACTTTTTTATTATTATTTCTGCCTTACATGTTTCGGTTTGACACAACCATCAACAGAGGCACTTGCTACAATTATGGAAACACTGTCACTGTTTTTGATGTTCACAATTTTGTTTTGTGGACTTTGCTATGATATGTTGACGTGTAAAAGCACAAAACAAGCTAGGATAGTTGAGTACACTCTCAAGTTCTCACTTTTCATCCGAACCTATTTTTAAGTTAAAACGCTAAAATGTTAAAATATTTGATATAAAATGCTGAACTCCTCCTTGTTAATTCATCCCGAAGATGGGAGACGTCAGCTTGAGGTTGAATGGCTTATGGTTTGATATGTTCCTGTGTGCTGTGTGCTGTGTGCTGTGTCCACAAAACAAAATTGTGAACATCAAAAACAGTGACAGTGTTTTCATAATTGTAGCAAGAGCCTCTGATGATGGTTGTGTCAAACCGAAACATGTAAGGCAGAAATAATAATAAAAAGTGACCTACAAATTGTTACACTCGACGGACCTTCTGTTAACTTTGTGATTGATAGTGTAACGGACCAAAATGAAACAATTCATACGAAGAGGAATTATGATTTTGTGTCATTATATTCCTCTTTATGTTTATCTTCTTCCGCATCTCTTATCCTCTTCTTCATTTATTTAATTCCTCCTTTTATTTTCCTTCTCTTCTTACGTTATAACCGGGGGCATGCGGTAGCGTAGTTGGTTGAGGCACTATGTTACGAAAGGAAGGTCTCGTTCAGACCCACAGAATGATAGGAAGGACTCATAAAGTACACCGCTGAGATGGGCTCAGGTGTCGTGATATATATGATCGCCTTTGTGGTTTAGTGATCAGAGTTCCTGGCTAGAGATCCAAAGGTCCCGGGTTCGATTCCCGGGCTACCAGACTTTCTGGGAAGTAGTGGGTCTGGAAAGGGGCCAACTCAACCTCGTGTGGATAACTGAGGAGCTATTTCAAGGAAATAGCGGCTCCGGTCTAGAAAACCGAAATTAACTGCCGTGGGGATCCGTTGCGCTGACCACGTGACAGCCTCTATACACAAAGAGTTGGCACTAACTTTGCCGACAAGCGGCGGTCGCTCGGTAGGTATAGTTCGCTTGCGGACTACCGTCTACGGTGTTTGTTTTTTGTTGTTTTTTGACGTCACTAATTGGGGTGACTGTCAATGGGGTTTTACATTGGACTTCTTGGCCCCTTATAGGTCTCAGCTACAAATAACTCTAACGCTATTGCTGATTTCCACACCACACGCTAAGTTTTCTCCATCCTGCAGGATCTTCACAAGCCTTTTACTGGTAATGGATTTTAACAGTGGTGAGGGGCATACCCGTTTCTTCAATTTGCGCTGCTCCATTCAGTAACAGGTGTTCAACTCAGGCTGATAACAATTCTCGGAAATTGCGGTTGCGTTGCGGTTGCCAGTTTCCTTGGTGTACCCTCGCCCCTAGTCTATAACGCCGACCTTACCACTGACTCAGGAGCCGGGATAGCGCAATAGTTATAGTGACTGCCTACGGGCTAGACGGTCGAGGGGTTCTGGTAAGAATTTTATCTTCCCTATATTCTCCAGACCGGTTCTGGTTCCCACGCAGCCTCCTATCCAATGGTTACCGGGGGTAAAGCGGCCAGGGTGTGAAGCTAATCACTCATCTCAAATTAGCGCCTAGGACAAGAATATGTGGGACTACACATCCACTCCCCCATACGTCTTCTTGGCTTAGAGCTTAATTAGTTAAGCACAGGGACAATTTTATTGTCAAACTGAACCTATTTTAATGTAATTAAGATTCTTATGTTCACTGTAGTTCATATAGAAATTCGCTACAATTTTTGATGCTTTACTGCGATCTTGCGGGAAAAGTAACTAACTAAAGTAACTATTTCCAAGCAGGTGAATCCCTGATAGGCTAATTGTGTGGTGAAAGCTTGTGAAAAATATTTATGGTCAGTTGCTACCCTTGCGCCCAATCTTCAAGCTGGAGAACCGTACTTTCTCGGCTGTCCGAAAATACTAATTCAAAATATTCTCAGTTGCTCTTCATAACTCCATCCTCCACCACTTGATGATGCGCAAAGCCATGTTGACAAGGGACCCACTTAACGTGGTTTCAGAAAATTAAAAACAAAAATTAAAATACTGGGACTTTTGTACTCATGTGTTCCTCTTTAAACTTTTACAGCATTTCACAGCAGAAAATACATCTTGCTGTGTTTTGTGGGGAGATATCCAATTCATAACTGATTACTTCAAGTTTAGATTGTTGGCTCTTATAGCAGTTTAGTTGGCACTGATCCCATGGGCGCCGGCAAAGGGGATCAGAAATTTTCTTCCCCCCCCCCCAGGACTTATAAAAATAAGGAATTTAAGAAAAGAAGGCAGTGAACTGGACATATTTAATAAGAATTGAGTATTTAAAATATATTTTTATCTTGATTACTCTAGAGCAGTGGTACCCAAATTGGGTCGTACTGCCCCCTGGGGTGCGGTAGGATTATCTAAGGGGGCGCTAAGAGACAAGGTGGTGCGGGGTTCCCTCCGAGTGCTTTTTCGCCTTTACGTTTGAACTGACTTTAGACCAGACACTGGGGAACTGGTATCACTTCATCATGTTCATTCATCGCATTAAGAATTTGTTATTAAATGTGTTATTTATTTTATTGTTATTGTCTTCCTTAGTGGATTGTGTAAACCGCTATTCTGATGAATGTTTTTACATGGTATGGCAGAGGGCACTGGTGTAAGTATACGGAACTAAGGGGACGGAAACCCAGAAATTTTGAGGACCACTACTCTAGGACATTCAGTAAATGTACCCTTACACGGCTAAAACATAAGCTTTCAAGCATATTTGCCTATTTTCCCAAGAAAAACTTGTTACCTCCATTCGAAAAAAAAAACCGAAGGCGCCATTACCGATAAAGTGATGTAATCAATATGTGGGTTCGTGTTATCTTCCATGAATTGTTGGTGCAATAATTTTAAGAAGAAATAAATTATACATATAGACGATTAGTGGCTGTATATCTTTATTAAAAACCAAAATATATTGTATACATGATGCTTGAAATAATTCATGTATCTAAGACTGCAGTTTGTATTAAGTCACGGAATAAAGGTAACTTCAGTTTTCTTCGAAGTTATTTGCTTCTTCAGAATCTGACGGAGCCTTCCGCCTGAAGCGTTCGCTGATCTCTTCAGAAGGTGTTTCAGAAATATCTCTCCACGAGTCGCAGGGGAAATAGAACTGAAATAAGAAAAGAAAGTAATTTAAATACGTGAAAACTATAATCAGTCACTTTTTCAGAATATTTATGCATTTCAGTCTGTAGCGCATTGGGTTCTGACATCCAATATTCTTGTAGATGAATATCAATGTTTCGGAGTAACACACTGGCAATAAAAAATTATTTTTTTTTAATTCGCATATTGGGGGGTGGAGCCCAGCTGGGTCCACTCAACACGGCGGCCACTGACTTGTCTATTGTACCTGCTCCGGGTGATTATGATGATGGAGAATTTGGTGGAATGAAGATTGGCAGGGGAAACCGAAGTACTCGGAGAAAAGCCTCCCCAGCGCCACTTTGTCCACCCCAAATCCCACTTGACCAGACCCCGTGTTTGAACCCGGGCCGCCACGGTGGGAAGCCAGCGACTAACCGTTTGAGCTATGGCGCGGCCTCTAACACGCTACCTATAACTTCAGGTTCGAAATATATCATACCCCGAGACTCAATATGGAAGAAATATTTCCCACCGAAACGTAGATCTCTGCCGACAACGCCACAGTCCCAATATTCACCTCAACGAAAACATCAGGACATTTTTATCAAGTAGGCTAATGCGATCTCCGTCTTATGACTTCCTGCGTTTGTGCCCCCCCCAATGTATCAACTTTTGAATTTCTGAACCAGTCTTCAAGAAACCTAGTATGTATATCATGATAACTGAGCCCATCTCAACGGCGTACTTTATAATTCCCTCTCATCAGTCTATGTGTAGCTCTCTTGGCTCAGTTAAATGCATCCATTCATTCGGTGCTAGGCAACGGCTCCGTAAACATATTCCTGCAGTAAAGAATAGAGGAACTGCTTGACGCGTCATTTTCTGTGTGTTCTGTGTCATCGAAAGAGAGTCTGTGGGTCTGTCTGTGTAACAACTCGGTAAAGCTGTTCCCGCCGCAACGAATGGATGATTTGTTTTCTGTGCAGTCCGTGTAAAAGATAAAGTTGTCCTTGTGCTTAACTAATTAAGCACTAAGCCACGAATACGTATGGGGAGTGGATGTATAGATCCACATTTTCTTGACCTCGCCACTAGTTGGAAGTGAGTGGTCAGATTCAAGCCCCGGCCGCTTTACCCCCGAGGAAAAGCCCCCGGTACCCATTCTATAGGAGGTTGGGTGGGCCCCAGATCCGGTCTGGACGAAATGGAGAAGAGAAAATTTTTGCCCCCTCCGGGATTCGAAATCCGTCTCTTCCGTCTTGCAGCCCGTAGCAAGTCTCTATACCGACTGAGCTATCCCGCCTCCTCATGCAGTCCGTGTAGTATTGAAAAATTAGGCAATTGATTTTTCCCAGAATTTCTTGTTTTTAAAAATGGCTGTGTTCCCCTTGAAGTGAATATGTGTGTTGGGTTAGTGAGAGACACTGCATTGAGATGTCCGATGTAGAGGATCCAGCACATCTGTTATAATAATTTATTCGAGAGGAAGGAGATGCCTGAAAATAATAGCGGGAAGAATAAGAGGAAACCTAAGGGTAAGAAGGAGGAAAGAAAAAGAGAATAAAGAAGAGACGATAGGGGAACAGAATTGAAATCTTTCTACGCCATAGCCATTCCTGCGGAGTTTATAAAACAATAATTTCAAAGAAAACAAGCGCCCTATTTGATGTCCTGGCCTGAAATAGACGTGTAACTGTAGAATTATATTACAGAGCGGGCTAAATGTCTCTGTTAGTATTCTTATGTGATTCTGCATTCAGGATGTAAAGTGAACACATAATGGAAACGCAATATATATCTTACTCTCTTTCTCCCTTAGCTCGTTTCATCTATAAAAAAAAACTCCGTGGCTTGAGTCCGCAAGCGAACTATACCGATCGAGAGACCGCCGCTTATCGCCGAATTTAGTGCCAAATTTAGCGGATAAATGATGTTGTGTGGTCAGCGCAACGAATCCCCACGGCCGTTAATTTCGGTTTTCTAGACCGGAGCCACTATTTATCCATTCATGTAGCTCCTCAATTATCCTCACGAGACTGAATGGACCCTGTTCCAGACCCACTACTTTTCAGAAAATCTGGTAGCGCCGGGAAACGAACCAGGACCTCTCGATCTGTAGCCAGGAACTCTGACCACTAGACCACAGAGAAGGTCTGTTTCATCTACCAAACCACTAAATTAATAGCAAAGAAAACTGTACTGAAAATTCTTAAACGAATTTCATTCTATTCATTATTGGTGCTTTATATTTGTAGAGAGATCACTAAATTATGGTGAACTTAGATTGTGAACTTCCGGGGGATGAGACCGTGTATCTTGATAGGATGTTATCACGGTTTCGGTGGAATATATTGCCTTCATATTCAGAGCTTCTTTCAAAAATCAGGTATTTACCAACAACAATAAATGGTCTTATAACCCGGAAGACAACAATTTAAGCCTTTACCTTCCCAAAAACTTCAAATCTCTTTTTGTATGTAGCTTCTGTTTGTAGAACTACATGTAATTTAAATTTCAAATCAACATGAAGGTTACTGAATTTTGGACTGTGACGGAGTACAACCGAAACTTTGATTGGTAAATATCAATGAAATTGCAAGGTATAGCATTTTAGAAGATATTAATTTTCGTAACCCAGGCTGTGAATATCTTAAACGTCACTTCATAATACGTCATTGTATACATATTCACTACCAGTAGGTGGAAAATGAGCTACGCTTATGAACATGGAGTGTTCTTCACGGTTTGTAGCCATCATTGGCTCTGGTACAAATAGGATAGATAGTTATTACACGTGGACCGCTTCTGTGGTCTAGTGGTCAGAGTTTCTGGCTACAGATTCAGAGGTCCCAGGTTCGATTCCCGGCGCTACCAGATTTTATGAGAATTATTGGGTCTAGAACTGGGTCCACTCAGCCTCGTGAGGATAACTGAGGAGCTACCTGGATGAAAAAGTAGCGGCTCCGGTCTATAAAACCGAAATAACTGCAGTGGGGATTCGTTGCACTGACCAAGCAACACCCTCTCTCCGCTAAAGTTGGCACTAACTTCGCCGAAAAGGGGCGGTCGCTTAGTCGGTATAGTTCGCTTGCGGACTAAAGCCACGGAGTTTGTTGTTACTTGTAATCCTATTACAGTGTACAAATCATGTATATATACACATAATATAGGTACATTTTGTTGCATTTAATTATTATAATAATTAAAATTATAACGTAAAATATTTCAGAGGTAATTAATTTTGAAGGGAATTTATATTTGTCATCACATCTCTTTAGGATTTTTAAGAAAAAATTTTCAGAAGTCGAATTCGTCTGTATGTAATTTCGGAGATACACTGGATCAATAAAGATCAAAATTAAAATTGCCGAAAAAATTAACATTTTTTAAAACCAAATTTAATATAATTCTATTAATGCATAGAGAAACGGGCTCAGATGTGTTCTGCGGCGCTTTAATTTGCAGAATTTATTCAAATGTGTCTAAACAGAGACAATAATTTGGGATACTCTACATTTAAATCTAAATTATTTACCTTTTAAGTTGTATGAAGATAAAGCGAGAGTCTTTAACTAATATTCGTTGCTTCACGTACTCAACCTTCGTTGCAACCACAGCTAATCTTAACAACTGTCAGTGGCTATTAGTATATTTCACGCTGACGGACTTGCTAAATATGCAAATGAAGAAAATCAAATGTTCAAATAATTCTTCTTCGTCATCTTTCTGCTTATATGTTTTGTTCCTCTCAAGTAAGTGAGGTTAGGTTTGACTTTAACCAAGGGGTGGGCCATATACGGTTCGTAAACAAAATGGAGTTCAGTCCTCGGCAATGTAAACATTTTTTTAACAATGTCATATACAGTGCAGAGAAAATGTATAGTTGTAAAGGCATAAGAAAATCGAAATATTGAGAGAAATCCAAGTTTTGAATCCTTCAATATATGCACTTAACTATTCTTGCAACGACCGGGCCCAAATTAAAATTCGGTTTAAAGCTTGTCTGAACATCCTGAAGACAAAGTAATGATTTATTATTATTTTGTAGGATTTGAGATTTTCACACCGGTGGTTATGAAGATATAACGCTGTCTAGTTCGTTAGAAATCAACATATCGCCTTTGTCTTCAATGTCGACAAATAAGTCGAGAAAGAAACCAGCGTTAAAATATAGTGGCAAGCTTTCAACCTACTTTCACGCAGGTTTCTTCCTCGGTTTATTCGTTGACCTTGAATATGAAGGCGATATGTTCCTCGCAAAACATCGGCTGACTTTTCAACGGATTACACGGCGTTATGTACAAGAATATATAATTCTTTTTGTTACTCTTTGTGAAGATTCATTTTATTATTTATTATATTTCAGTAAATATTTACTGTTTTTTAAATGTAATAATGAGGTTTCAAAGCCGGAAGTAAGGAGACCACTAGGAAGACCAAGGCGTAATTGGGTGAACGATATTAAAATGGATTTCAGAGAGATAGGATGGGTTTGTAATGGACTGGATTAATCTGGCTAAGGATAGTGAGAGTGGAGGGCTCTTGTGAACACGGTAATGCACCTTAGGGTTCCATAAAATGCTGAGAAGTTCTTGAGAAGCTGCACAACTGGCAGCTTCTCAAGAAGGAATCAAGTCCATGAGTGAGTGAGTAACGAGGTATCATGCTTATGATTATGCAGAGCCGTTGATATTTTAAGGTGAAAGGAAAAGAATAAATCCAAAATATAAAAATTCTAATTACCTGTTGAGGGTTGCGGGCACCAAGAAGAAACTTGATCCTTTGGAGCTGGCTACAAGGGTTAGAGAAGGCAGGAGATTCGTCTATATTTTGAATAAGTCCTGCCCCCGAAGCAGATGAGGGGATGAGCACTGGTGTTACTGATCCTGAGCGCTTCCGCCCATTGGTCCACCCCCGTGAATATTGGAACGTCTGGGCTAAGACGGCACCGGTTAAGCAGCAAAGAACAAGAAGAAGGCCAGGAAAAGTATGGAACCGACACCGCGAAGAAGAAGCAGTACTGGGAAAGTTCATCGTGGCTGCAGCAATTGTGGCGTCTGGAAATGAGGCCATACACAATTTGTTTGCAAGTAACCTAAATGTAAAAAGTAGAAACAAATGGAATTCGTGATGAGAGGAAACTAGCGACACATCCGTTGAGAATTCAGAGGTAATTATCATAATTTCTTGTGTATGCTTTCGTACTGTTAACTTCCCATGTTTGCTCCCATGTTCCAATCCCGTATGTTATTAGAGGATACGTCGAGGCTGAAGTTTAACGACTTCTCCCATAAATAACGCATATAAATAGTCAATCACAAGCCGTTTCCTTCATATAATATACTAAACTTCACACATCCACAAAAAATATCATGAATACTCGCAGGATAGACACGATACACTGAAACAAAAAGCTTCTCGCTAATGACTGATTATGTAACTTCCGTTCATGTAATATGTTAACGCTCAACAAATCGTTGTTATTTTAATCTTAAATTGCAAAACAACAATGGCAATTCTCAATCTTACAATAATTTTTGCATGTATAGAAGGATAAATCACTGCCTAACAAACTAACTAACAAGGTAATATATTAGACTACTAACTGAAAGCCCAACAAATTAATAGACTATACATATTCCGGCTGTAACCTTCTGAAATTCTTTGAGATTACGTCATAATGTGAGCAGTCAAGCTTATGGAACAAAAGTCATGTGCGACTTCGGCTCCCATCGAATGTTTAAAATAGAATTCATTAATTTTCTAGTGATGACATAACCTCTACCTCACTGTGTAATGAGGACGCTACTTTTTGTTATTGCCAGTGGGGTGGGACTAAGTCCCTTGTACTGCGGCCACTTCTGGCCTATTGTACCAGGCCCAGATGATAGGTGAGGGTGATTATGGATCAATTGGTGGAATGAAGATTGGCAGGGGAAATCGAAGTACGCGGTGAAGACCTGCCCAGCGCCACTTTGTCCAACACAAATCCCACTTGACCAGACCTGGGATCGAACCCGGGCCGCCGCGGTGGGAAGCCAGCAACTAACCGCTTCAGCTATGGCGCGGGCTAACGAGGACGTTACCTCAAGTGTATTTTAGGCACACTATAGGTTACGACACAGGGTACTCAGGAAACTGGTTACCAGTCTTTGTCGCATAATAAAGCGGCAACAATAAAACCAGTCACAACTTAGTGCATAACTTTCTGTTCCCGACAGGGAAACCGAGTCCAGACTTACTCTGTGACTTTCATAAGTAAAATATAAAGTTGTTCATGTGCTTAACTAATTAAGCACTACGCCATAAAGGCGTATGGGGAAGTGGATGTATAGATCCCAGTTTTCGTGACTTCAGCACTAGTTGGAGGTGAGTGGTCAGATTCACGCCCCGGCCGCTTCACCCCGAGGAAATAACCCCCCGTACACATTGGATAGGAGGCTGGGTGAACCCCAGAGCTGGTCTGTACGACATGGAGAATTAAAATTTTTTGCACCTACCGGGACTCGAACTCCGACCCATTGGTCGCCCAGCCGTAGACAGTCGCTATACCGACTGCGCTATCGCGGCTCTCTGTGGCTTTCATAATCTTCCAGATTCTTTCTGGGGAAAGAGATTGGGGCGTAGCTATTGTTATTCTTCTCCATCTAGTGCCGAGATTAACTATCAATGGAGCTATCCCTATAGTCCCCCCATACGTCTTCGTAATGCGGTGCCTAATTAAGCATAGGGACAACTTTATATTTGTACAGTAGTTCACACAGCGTGAAATTTTGTGGCAGTTATAGCCCCTCACACTGAGTTCACATCTTGATACACGGTCCAGTTATGGGTAACGCTCAGATAAAACAAATATCTAATTTAGCAGGGCTAATCTGCATCTGAACTCCCCCTATGCTTCCTTATTATTTTTGTCGGGAAGAATATCATATATTTTCTTGGTATTACAAAATGCAATTATGTATCTTGATGGTCACAGAGACCAATCGGTTTAAGGCATGAAATGTCTTCACTCGCTCAATCACTGAAATCGTGGTTTCCAATCCCACTCGAGGCATGGGTGTCTCTTAGTGTTTCTCATGTGTTTATGTTGTCCTCTGTATAGGTAGTGGCTTTGCGATCGGCTGATCCCCCGTCCAAGGTGTCCTACCGACTGTCTACAAGATTCATAGTTTCTGGTTAATTCTGATGGGAACAGATCAGAGGGCCCAATACGAAAAGAATAAGGAGAAGGGTTACAGATCTTATTGAGAAAAATTAAGTTAATTCTTTTAAGTGTTAAGAGGGAGAAGAATTCCTATTACAGATTGCGGACGTAACACAAAAACAGGCTTACGAATAGAACAGGCTGCCGCAATAAAACATTTAAGTAAAGGATGCAGATCAAAACAAGTGGACGACGCCCCTAGTGAGGTGCAATAAGAATTTTATAAAATTTAAAGGAAATTTGTATAGGAATTTTTAATTGATAGTTTTGATAGATTTTATTTGATTTAATTAAGTGAACTAGAGCGTGTGCTTTTTTAGCGCATACCAGTGAGACTACGATTATGGCGGTTTGAATCATGAAGAGTGCAGTCGCATATCTGATGAGTGTACAATATTAGTGCAGTGTAGCAGTTTTAGCGCAGTAAGACACCTGAAGATGGCCATCTAGGGCCGATACATGTTGTGTCGAAATTGAATGTGAAAGGAATAAGGGGCATTTTGTTGCATTGCTGACGGACTGTCTAGTACAGTAAACAGTACTATTTACAATCCTATATCAACTTCTCAAGTTATGTCGTTTGGAATAAGTTATAGTAGAATTTTTCTTCACTTAACGTGTGTAGAGAAACAAAAGTGTTTGGACATCGTACACTCATTTAATCTTCTACAATGTTTCCTCCTCTCTTGATGTCTTTTGATTTACGCTCCAGAACCCCCTCCAGGATTTACTATACTTCTGAATGTCTAAGGATGCCACTCACAATCGAAACATAATATCCAGTATAAAAATACTAAATATAGGTTTCAGGAAGCTATTTAATAAGAATTTCTCATGAAGATACCTACATCTGACTTCAGAGATACTACTACTGGCAGATCCAACTACCGGTAGAATTTGTACTTCCTGCAGTGCATTATCGTCGCACTGTGTTACCATAATTTCAGGCATTATGTTACAATTTTCCTATATAGAGAGATTAACGCCGGTCACAGTAGCCGAGCGGTCTATGACATTCACTGTCTTTGCTCGCTCGGAACCCGGGATCGTGGGTTCGAATCTCACCTAGGGCATGGATATTGCGTGTGTGTGTGCAATTTTCTGTAAAAAGATTAAAAACACAATTGTCCAAATATTTAAAGGTAATATTTGTTACCTTTTTGTCAGTAGAGTTCGTACACTTGGGCCAATAAACTGCAATGGAAGAAAGCAATTATTCTTTTAACTGTACTCATATTTGAAAGGGCTCAACTTCAGGTCACTTGTGCAATTAATCCTATACCTTTTCACATGACACAGTTTATCAATGTTAACATGTAGGTTTTAAGAACTAGAAGATTTAAACTGTTTACTATGACAACTTTGATCTCGCCGGGAACAGAAACACGGACAGCCTTTTCGTGCCAAAGAGATCAAAGAGAAGGCGAGGTTTGACGAGAGTGGTGAGTGTTGGCGGCTGTCATGGATATGCAAAAAGAACAACCTTAGTTCCCCCATGCAAACCTTTGATCAAGTTGTAGGGTAGTAATTATTAATATTTACCGCCATAAAATGTGGTGAGTGTATTGCATATTGGAAGAACTTTGTGTTCATTAATTCTGACTTATATACCACAACAATAAGCACAATTAAGAAGAGACAGCATGGGCTTACATATTGTATCTCCATTCATTTAAATCCAATCTTACGTTTTACATGAAATATGATCGTATAAGAGAGAGAGCTTCTTGTTCGTCTATCGTGATGTTCATTTCCTAAGACCCTACATAGATTTTCATAAAATTTCAGTATTTAATAATATGTGTTAACATCCTGAACCATAATTCAGATAAATTGATGGCTGCGGAATTTTTCTCTTAAGCACAACAGGCTCTGAGGCCAATTTGATTTCCTTTCTAATCAGTAGGCCAAATCAGACGTCTTATCCAATAGTTAAACGGTAGGAGGGTGAGGCTGGTCACTCATCTGCCGAGGTCATGAATGTGTGGAGCTACATTTCACTCCCTCATACGTTTTCACGGCATGCTGTTCAAGCACAGGGACTTAAGTTTAACCTTTCAAAACACCGTGGTTACTGTGAATACCACTCCCTTTCATGTTAAAAAGCTCTCTATTTTGACCATAGGCTATATTTATGTATTCTGTGGGGTCCTAAGAATAAACAGCGATTTCATCCCTAAACAGTTTTAACTGACTGATCTTTACAATAGAGAGGTATCGTGTTTTGTGAGGTAGGAACTGAATTTTTAAAAATAATTTACATGGAGCTCAGTCCCAGTTATGAACAGAATACTTCATTCCTTCAGATTTGCTGATGACAAAATAATATTTTGCAGCAGATGGAGATATGATTTATGTGATGACATTGATAGAGGAATACATTGTGACATGACGCCTGAAAGCCGGAATAACGGAACCAGAATACATATTCATCGCTAGGCAACGAGTCGGTAAACAGGTTTCCACGGAAATTAAGACGCACGCAACAATAGTAGAACTATGGTTTCTATGCCACGACGAGGTAAACACCCCTTTGTAACAATACAGGAATTTTTAAGAAACGGTACTTTATGTTGGATCCGTCCCGAGGCTATATAACGAGGATCCCAGGCAGTTGAAAGTTCAGAGTACAGAACTAGGAGTACAGAAGAATAATAAAAGTCGATCTGTGAAGACTTAACGTGTGATTTGAAGATATTATGTGTGATGAAGTGCAGTGGTATCTGGAGTGTGACAGTTGTATTTCCAGTGTTAAAATCCGCTGCCAGGAAACGGATAGGGAAAAGGTTGCAGGGGAATAGGCATTATTTAGATTCGTTACATAGCAACAACTAGTGTAAGCAGATATAG